TTTTTTTTTTTTTTTTCCATATTGTTCTCCCACTCTATCTAGGATCTCCTACATAGATCCCCCTTCGAGTGGCTGACAGTAGTAGCCATATATACACATATTTTTGAAAAGCATTTTGAAAAGGAGAATTATCTGTCATCATTTAGATATGTCACTATTTGATTATCTTAGAAAAAATAGGTATCTTAAACGTATGTTATATTTGCTTTAGGACGATGAACTGCATAAAACCAAAATATGTAGGACGTTTGAGTTAGAGACCAATTCTTTTATTATGAGAACTCACTATCGAAACCAAAAATACCAAACTCACTGCCGTGGAATCGATCCTATGCATAATGACTCCCATAGGGTTTCTAAGGCTATGAATCTTTACAGCAGACTGCCTCATCTTTCTTCCGTGGAGCAGCTAGTGGGTTTCAACCTTTATGTTAGCAGCCAAATGCCTTAATCACTGCATCATCAGAGCTCCTAGAACTCACTAGAGTTCATGTAAAGTAGGAATCTTCCCATTTCATTATTCCAGTATTGATTTGCTGATGACTACTTGACAGAGACACTGTGTATGTATATGTGTCTGTGGTGGTGGGGTTACCTCGATTCTTGTGATTAAAGAGGTCCTTCAAGGTCCAACTCCCCTTAACCACATCCATTGACTTTTCTACATCCTGACCTGAAAGTCCCACCATAAAGATCACAGCACATTAGGGGGATTGAGAGGAGGGGTAGATGGGAATTTGTCTCTCAAGCTATCATTAATGTGTTCATTATTGGAACACTGGAAGCTGCCCCCCAGCTGTGGCGCAGAGAGGTTATACAGCCAGAATGCAGCAGTGCTAGCATTCCAATTCAGGGAGCTCGGTACCAGAGCCCATGTGCTTAACCACTGAGATACACTGCCCTGTGGAAATTAGGCTAAAAGAGATTTGAGATGATTTCTCCTTTTTGGGAGCATCTGCCAGAGAAAAGGCAAATGAACAGTACTTTCTGGAACAAAGTCCTAAGCACAGCTCCCCCCCCCCTCCCCGTATGACTTTGTTCCAAAGGACTGGCAGTATTACGTCTGATGTCATCTCTTGATTCTCCCGTAGGCTCTCTGAGCCATCCTGATCATCTGTAGTTCTGTAGTTCCTGAAACCTCCACCAGGCACACTTCTGCCTTAAGACTTCTATAGTTTTTATTTCATCTGCTTGGAACCTCTTTTAGATGTATGCTTGGTTTACTTCCAAACTTCACTCAGTTCTCTGTTCCAGTGTCACATCATCAGACAGTCCTCATCTAAACACAGGTAGGACCTTTGTCTCCTCTACTGCTATAACATCTCTGCCTAGAAGAGGGCCTGCTAAACAAATGAATAAATGAATAAATGAATATATAAGAAAGAATGCACACGAATGAGGTAAAAGTGTGTGGGGGATGTCAACTATTAACTTTCTTTCTCTATGTATTTGTTTTTCAAATTTAGGTGGATTAATTTCAGCATTTTGACATGCTCTGCTCTTCACTGTCCTTGGAAGGAAGACTGGACAATCTGCTTCCATAGAGATACTGCCTTGGAAACCCAAGGAGGGATCGCTATGAGTTGGAATTGACTTGATGGCAGTGAGTTTGGTTTTTTATTTACTCTTCATTGTAAAAATACATCTTATTTTTAAAAAAACAAACAAAATGAAATGCAACCTTTTGCTATTTTCTCCTCTTATTCCAGACTTAGAAATGTGTTACTAATATCATTGTATATTTGGTCTATACATCCCCATCTTTAATTGAAATACCACTTTCTATAAATAATGGTATAATTCAAAGATGTCATAGGTGAATTTTCATTGTTTGTTGAGTTGGAGGGCCCAAGGTAACAATGATCTCACCCAAAAATTTAAATTAGAACCAACATGTTCAGATATTTGTACCTTAAAATATTTATTTCTTCCTATATTTTCTTATGATTTCTCTTTAATCACTTTCCCCCGACACTAGGAAGATTGGTTTTGAAAAGAGCACAGCAAAGGGAAGCATTTCCTATTGTGAGACTTTATGATAATGGGTAACATTGTCTCAAACACGCATTACCAAACCAACCAAACCTGTCACCATGGAGTTGATTCTGACTCCTAGTGACTTTACAGGACGGAGCAGAACTTCCCCAAAGGGTTTCCAAGGCTGTCATCTTTTTAGAAGCAGATTGCCACATCTTTCTCCTGTGGAGAGGCTGGTGGGTTTGAGCCAGCAACCTTTCTGTTAGCAGCTGAGCACTTAACCACTGTGCCACCAGGGCTCCTATGGTAGTTAAGGTTATGTGTCAACTTGGCTGGGCCTGGTTTTGAGTGGCTGGGCAGCTGGATGTAGTTATTCCCCATGATGGGATTAGTAATCAACTCCATGGTGGGATCTACTGGAGTAGCTGCCTTAGGGATGTGGTCTGCTTCCAGTATATGAGGATAAGGATCTTTTGAGAAAGATCTCTGCAGCTTTTTGGCATGCTTTGATCCTGCTTAAAGAGCTCTGGTGGTGTAGTGTATAAGGCACTTGACTGCTAACTGGAAGGTCAGTGCTTCATACCCACCAGCTGCTCCATGGAAGGAAGACGGGGAAATCAGCTTCTGTAAAGATGTATAGCCTCAGAAACACAATGGGGGTCACTATGAGTCAGAAACAACTTGATGGCAGTGAGTTTGGTTTTTGATTTGGACCTGCTTGGAGCTGAGTCTTCATTCAGCAGTCTGCCATGCCCTGCTGATCTTGGGACTTTTTCTGGACTTGAATTAGTGGCTTGCTGTGTTGTTTGATAATCTTTGGACTGTACATTTTATTTGTTGACTTCATGTTTGTTAGCCTCAGTAGCCAGCAGCTGCCTGAGTGAAGAGATGCCTCCAGCTTCAGGGGGCTGAGAGCAAGAGGCAGAGAGAGCTAAAGCCCAAGGTTGAGGAGCTTTTACCCAGCCCCTAGAGGTTGGCACTTTGAACTCGTACTTTGAGCTTCCTAAACTGTAAGAGAATAGATAGATCTCTGTTTGTTAAAGCCACCATTGGTGGTATTTTCTGTTAGATTAGCATGGAGTGACCAAACAGGTCCTCTGCTGCATTCCTACAGATCCCAAATGTTTTCACCTAAACTGGCATAAGCAACAGTGAGGAAATGTCTTCCCATTTTTGGAACTCAATGTCAAGTGTTTTCATTTATTTTACTTATCTTTTTATATAAGTGAGGTCATAAAATATCTGTCCTTTTGTGAGTGACTTATTTCACTCAGTATAATTCTTCAACCTTGATACATATCGTAGCATGTAACATGACTTCATTTCTCCTGCTCAAAAAAACTAAGTCACTGCTGTCGAGTCTATTTGTGTTTTGTTAATATATTAGACAATCCATTGTTAAAAACTAAGTGTAATAGTGTTCCCCCTACATTTTCTTCAAGAATTTTATGGTTTTAGTTTTCACATTTAGATCTTAATCCATTTGGAATTTGTTTTTGTGTATTATGTGAAGCAGGGATCCTGTTTCATTTTCCTGCATACAGAAATCCAATTTTCTCAGCAGTATTTATTTTAGACACTCTTCTTGCCCCACTGAATGGACTTAGCACCCTGGTCAAGTGTTTTTATAATCACTATGGTTGATAAATTATCTTCTAGTCTAAGTGATATTGTATTATATTAATTCTAAGATGCACATATTTGCATCTCCAAGACTGGGATTCTGTTCATAACCAACCAACCAACCAACCACCTCATAGTTAAATTGGACATATTTTTTTTAAGGTAACACAAAACATTTGTGTGCCTTATGCATATAAATTATGCATACAAATTATGCATTATAATCAATAGCATCATAATATTAATAAGGTACAGTGTATGCCACACAAAATGAAAAATTTAAAGTAACTTAGTTGGGTAAACACACTGCCATTGAGTCAGATCCGACTCATAGTGATCCTGCCTTGGGTTTCTGAGATGATATCACTATGGAAGTAGATTGCCCAACCTTCCTTCCGAGGAGTGGCTGGTGAGTTTGAACTGCCAGCCTTCTGGTTAGCAGTCAAATGCTTTAGGCACTATGCCACTTAGATGGGTAGAAATGGCTTAATCTGAAAGTATTTTATTTTATTTTGCCATGAAATATTTTGATCTGACCTTTTCTAAGGCCCCCCCCCCCAAACTTAGGTAAGTTGCTTACCTTAATTCAGCAACATCAGCTTTGTCCAGAGCATTTAGAGCCACAAGTGCCTTCTCAAAAGCTGGCAATACACTTTTAAGTTCATTGGTAGTTTTCTACAACAAAGACATAAGTCCCCAAATACATATGAATGAATATAATTAAAAATTTTTATTTTTTGAACTTGGGAAATATAATTGGACATTTGTACAATGCTCTTAAATTATTGTATCTTGACTCAGATATGGGCACAAATGCTTATATTGTTAGAAACAGTTTATCATAGTCTTAAATGTAGTATATTATGCAATCCTTGATAAGAAATTATTTGTGGGAAGCAAAAATGCTGAGTGGCTTCTACCTTCTCTATTAGACTCAGTGTTGTATTGACAATACTCTTCAGAGGAGAGGTGCAGTTAAAGGTGAAATTTCTGTGAAAATAATAAAGCCTCAGCTTCAAGGTACCTTGCACAGGACCCTTCTAAAGCCCTGAAAGGAATTCTGGTAATCTGTTTGCAGGGTCACATGTTTTTGTTAAACTTGCAAAAGCAATACTTTTTAACTGCAGTCAGTTAAGACCATTTGCTCTTTAAATTTTGACTTATTCTTTGTCTTACTTTCTAACATGTCAGGTGGAAATGGAATGGGTGCAGATATTTTTGGGATCTGGATAAAGAATAGAGTTGGGAAATATATTTATGTTGCCCACAGTCACTTCTTGTATAGTTAAGTTATTGGAAGCTACCTGGAATAGGCATGGCTTCCAGAAATATTCTTATTGTCAAGTGTTCCAGTTTTCTGGGTAATGTGACATTAAGGTGCAGGATCAGAAGTTGTATTGTAATATGAGCTTGTCCTGTAGAACACAGCCTCAGAACTATGTGGGTATGGAGGAGAATATATGGTTTACAAAGTATGGACCCAGAAACTTCTCTGTGGAAAATTTTTCCATTTACTGGATGTATAAAAGTGCAAGTGTAGGTCTAGATTCTCATCAACATCTACTCAAAATGGAAATTTACTCCTTCAAGATAACACATCATATACTATTATAAACCCATCATCTATTTCTTTCTCTCTCTCTCTTTTTTGATGAGAGTTGTACAAGAAATCGTTCATCAGAATTCTTGAGTTTTTAAATTTTAAGTACTGCATCTGGAAAGATATTTTGGACTATTTCAGTGATATAATTTAGAAATTACAGATTCCTCATATGGCCATATGTGAAAGGTACCTTATGCCATCATCTTTGTCTTTTTATTTATAAATAATTAATCTGATAAAAATTTAAGAAAAATGAAACTAAAGTGATTTGTGATAAAATCAATAGAGATTTGATATTCAGAAGCAAATTGTAATAAAAAAGTTTTCAGATCACCAAAAACAATATAGTAAGACCAAAAAATAAATTTAGGATAGAAGTAATAACTGACTAAGAATCTTTTAATGAAGAAGAAAGAATCATGGCCACACTGGAAAAATTTTAATTTTTTGCTGATTTTGCAAGAAATACTGATATCAATGAAAATAACATAAAAATCATAAAACACTCTGGTGGCATAATGCCTAAGGCACTTGACTGCTAACCAGAAGGCTGGTGGTTCAAATCCACTAGCCACTTTTCGGAAGGAAGGTTGGACAATCTACTTCCATGGTGATACCACCTCAGAAACCCAAGGAGGTGTCGCTGAGTTGGATCCGACTTGATGGCAATGAGTTTTTTTTTTTTTTTTGTATAATGAGGACATTGATGCAAAACTGGTTAATAAATGTCATCAATTCAAGAAGTATTTAAAATTAATTACTGCATAAGAATTCTTGAAATGACATTACTGGTTATGTCAAATTGATAGGAATCCTAAAAATGTTGATTATCAATAACGAGTTAAGAAGACTGGAAAAAGTCTTTCTAAGCTATTAGCAATGAAAAACACATTTTGATCAGTGATGCTAAAGATTGTACAGGAAATGACATTATAAATTCATTATCATATGAAAAATACCATTATCATATGAAGATGTTATCATATAGGGTATGCATGCAAATGTAGAAAAAAGGGCTTATAGAGGGGTGTGTGTGTTGTTGTTGCTATGTGCCATTGAGTTGGACCCAACTCATAGCGACCCCTCCTTGGGTTTCCGAGGCAGTATCACTACGGAAGTAGATTGCTCCATCTTCCTTCTGAGGAGTGGCTGGTGGGTTTGAACTGCCAGCCTTCTGGTTAGCAGTCAAGTGCCTTAGGCACTATG